AAATAGGCCTTTTTCTACTAGTTGTGTGTGTGTGTGTGTGCTTTGTCTGATGGGCGACGGTCAGCAGGCCCTCGTCTCCTCATCCCGATGGGAGATCTTCGACATGGAGCGCGGGTGCGGCCCTGGATGTCAGCCACGCGCGAGGCATAGCTTGGATCCCCGCCGACGGCCCCGGGACGGTGGTGGTATGGCTGCCGATGGTTGCGAGGGTAGCCAGCGATGCCCGGGCGGTGGTGATGTGGTCACGGCACCCTCGTTCTTTGGTCTGATGGGCCTAATGAGCGGGGTCTTTTGCGGCTCACAGTGGGGTGGTGGTGGCTACAGGCGGTTGCAACTATGTGGTAACAGGGAGGGCATTAGTTGGTCATGTGGATATCTAGTACATCGGCTACTACTGACAGCGAGGAAGGGGAGGCGCGATTTTCGTTGAAAACTGAGCCGACTTCGACATGGCGCACGATGACAACGTCTACTGTAATGACCTACCTTCACAAGTTGCAATTCAAACCACTTGAATGAAACCCAAATCTTTAGGCTTGCACCGGCCAAGGGCATAAAGCTTAAAGTTTTTTTATTCAGCACCAACCCTCACTCTCTTTCTGAAACAAAAAAAGACAACTCTATATCCAAAAAAGAGAGAAAAAATCAGCACCAATCAAACATGTTGCCGCTATCCTCGAACAACAGCGAGCCCTGCAGCAACCCGAACAACCCATCAATGCTAATCTGAAGAAAAATAAGCGTTATAGTGGATTATAATCAAAGTGGGAAGTGGAAGACGCGAGGAGAAGTGGGGCGAGGCACCACATCGTCCTCCTCCTCGGACCAGGCGTTGTCGCTCCAGGGCAAGTCATCGGGGGATAGGTCTATGTTGTCTTCTCCGTCGTAGGGGAGTTCGGGCTTGTCTTCTCCGTTGAGGAGCCCCATCCCAGACGAGGAGCCAAGGGGTTTGGGTGGTGCCACGGGGGTGGTGGAGCCATGGGGGTGGTGGAGCCATGGAGGTGGCCGCGGGTGCCCCTTTTTGGTGACCTGGTCGCCGGAAGTCGCGGAAGAGCACACCCCAGCCCCCTCCACCCCTCCCGACGACTTGTTTGGCCAGCCCATGCGCGGGGCGGGACACTCCTTGTTTTTAAAAGTCCATCTCTTGATAAATGAAAATGATGTCTCTTAAATAAATAAATAAATGTCATCTCTTGATTTCCAAAATGCCATGTGATGTAGTTCAAAAAAGTAAGCTACCACATAAAAATTTCCAACAGACAAATCACCATCTACTTAAAAATGGGGGAGCCTGGGACTCAATCCCAGTTCTCCTGGGTGCGAGGGTGAGTGGCCAGCCATTGCGCTATGAGGTAGTTTTTTTATTATACGATATGCTTGCTAGCATTTATCACAGAACTGACTTCTTCTATAATCCGATGTGGCTCTGATTGTTGCGCCAAGATCCGCGCAAACTAAACCGACGGAAGATTGGGGGTCGCGACGAAATTGCCCACATCTCACCGTCGTTTTTGGGAAATAAAAAAGCTGCTATGCGTTCGCCTGGGCACGCGATTGCTGCCGAGGTGTTTGGTTTTGATCCAACCCCATGCCTCCTTTGTGCTCCCCGTTCCGCCCGAGCATGTTGTGCATCTCCTGTGGTGGGGGCGGAGTGATGCGGCTCAGCGACACCAATACCTAGTTGTTGTCTCTCTGCAAGACCGTCTCGTCCTTAATGGAGTCCTACAGGCACGCCGACTGAAGGTTCAGCTCGATCGCCAACGCCCAGTTACTATCGTTGGTGCAGTTGAGCACCGGGAGGGAGAGGCTAATGCCGCTATAACCACTGGTCTCGCACACGACCTCCCTTATCATGATCTCATCATCAGTTCCGCGACATGCCATAATGCAGCCACGACTCTACAAGTGATGCCGTTTTTGCCGCGGTGGCGCCTTGGAGCCGCCAGAGGCTAACTGTTGCTATGGTGGCGTCTTATAGCAGCCGGAGACTGACCACTGCTGTGCTCCTCTACTCAACATGGTCGCCTGAATAACGCTCTGATGTCAATTGTTTGTAGGAACTACTATTCTCGGGCCCCAAACTATGAGTGCCCGGGAGCACTCTTAGTAGCTGGCTCATTGTGTGTTACTACTTGAAACTCAGCTGATTGAAGCAGGATGTTTTTTTCTCCTGATTTTCCTTTCTTAAGAAGAAGAAATACATGCCTTTTAGAGCATCTACATCCGGGTACCCCAAATTAACCGTCACAAAACGCCCAAGTGGACAACCCGATCATTAGCCAGCCTCAAATGCCTGGGCTGTCTGGCGCACCTCATATCCATCCCAAATGTAGGGCAGATATGGGGCGGCCCGGGCGTGTCCGCCACGTTGGCTTGGCGCAGCCTAGACCACCAGTGCCCCACAAATATCCTCATCTAGAAAACCCTAGACAACAGTCAATACACAGTCCACTTCACTCCCCTCTTCGTCCACTACACATCTAATCCCCACCGATCTGAATCTAGCTATGGCCGACGATGGAAACAACATTGCCTCCGCTGTAGAATCCGACGACCCCGACGACTGGGCGAGCCGGCTATGTGAAGCGGAGCCCGATGGTGTGGAGGAGGTCACCCACCGCATCATATTGAGGCGGTCGCACATCGACCAAGGTGACACCGGCAGCGGCGGCTCATCTTCCTCAACACGCTTTGCTGACGACGTAGCACCGTCGATGTCGTCGACCCATCCCGCCCATCGTTCAGCTCCTGCCCCTCCGCTCCCTACATCATTTAGGTATGCCACCCACCACCACCAAAGCAAGTTCCCTTTGCTCTAGAACTGGCACCAAGGCACCGCTGGGTCCTTGTGCCCACACTGGCGCCTGCGTGCATGGGGACGCCAGAGTATGAGGCACGTGCAGCCCGCCGCGAGCAGCAACAGGCGAGGGAGAGGGCATCAGTGGGGTAGGCACTGACGCACGATGGTCAAGCGCGAGCACACTGGTCGATCCTGAGGACGTGCTCTTCATGTCAGCCCTCTTCCGCTCTCTCACGATGGCGGAGATAGATGGTCGGCGCCTCCGTCGCAAGAATGCCAAGGCACACCGACTCGGCATTGAGTTGTCGGAGCGCCAGACAAACAAGGATGCATCGGCCAAGGCGAAGGTGGTCTGCATGCGAAGGAGCAGGACAGTCTGATATGAAGGTTCTCGGGGCAAGCGTGCTCGAAGGACTCCGACCTGATGGACGGCTCCACCTCCAGCTCGAACGACGAACCACCGATGCACGCCGACGTCTACATGGAGCAGGGGCACAACCACACTGATAAACATAAGAGGAAGGTGGCGGCGAGGAAATGGTGATTTCCTCCACCCTTCCCCTGTTTTATTTATGTTTAATCTATGTTTTAAGTAGTTTCTAATATGGATTTGCACTGTCCGTCGAGGAACTTCTGATGAACTATGGTCCTTTTGTCCCGCGATGAAATGGTGATCTGTTGAACTGCTTGTTGATCGTGTTAATACTAGCGCTGCATGGGTTTGGGGTTCCGGATATGAGGGACGCGGTTGTGGAAGCTAACATATGAGGCGTGACCAGTCAATGCCCACGGACGAGCCCGAGCGTGTCCCGGGCATTTGAGTTCCCGAATTTGCTATTCATGGCTTTAGATTTTTTTATAACACAAATAAACTAACTCCATGAGGGTGATGACTGCAGTGCTTATGTCAATGTCCTAGATGACATCACCGCTGATCTCATGCCCTAGGATGACATCCTGGCTGACCTCACTATTTCAGACATGGTTTAATCCTGCACTAATTATGCATCTAGAAATGGCGAAGGGATGGGACGTCTACCAGCGAGGTTCACGGAGGAGGGGCGGATCGATTTGTGTCTGCGTATGGCTCATGGTTAGGCTCAACGACAGCATGTCGCGAGGGCTGGGCAGTTGCGACTGCCCACTACCTATCTGAATATAGCTATGGCCGACGATGGAAACAACATTGGCTCCGGTCTAGAATCCGGCGGCTGGGCAAGCCTGCTGCGCGAAGCGGAACCTGACGATGTGGACGAGGTCACCGTCTGCATCGTGTTGAGGTGGTCGTGCCTAGACCAAGGTGACACCAGCACTGGTGGCTCATCTTCCTCAGCACGCACAACCCATCGACGCAGCGCCGCCGATGTCGCTGACCCATCCTGCGCGCCGCGCAGCTCCGTACACTCCTCTCCCTACATCCTTTACGTATGCCTCCACCACCACTAATGTGGGTTCCCTCTGCTCCGGAACTGGTACCCGTGCATCGCTCGGTCCTCGTGCCCGCACCGCCACCTGAGTCTGAGGCACGTGCAGCTCGCCGCAAGCAGCAATGGGCGAGGGAGAGGGCGGCGGCGGGGTAGGCATTGACTGCATGCCGGTCACACACGAGCACGCCGGTCGATCCCGAGGACGTGCTCCTTGTGTAGGCCCTTCGCCACTCTCTCATGATGGCGGAGACGGATGCGCAGCGCCTCCCCCGCAAGAATGCCAAGGCGCACCGACTCGGCATCGAGTTGTCGGAGCGCGAGGCAAACAAGGAGGTGGTGGCCAAGGCGAAGGCGGTCCACCATGCAAAGGAGCAGGAGAACCTAATACGAAGGTTCTCAGGGCAAGCGTTCTCCAAGGACTCCGACCTGACGGGCGGCTCCACCTCGAGCTCCAACGACGACACACTGCCGCATGCCGACGCCTACATGGAAGAGGGGCACAGCCACGCCGACAACCGGAATAGGAAGTGGCCAGCGAGGGAAATGGTGATTTCCTCCACACTTCCCAAGTTTTATTTATGTTTAATCGATGTTTTAAGTAGTTTGTAGTATGGATTTGCACTATCGGCCGCGGAACTCTTGATGAACTATGGTCCTTTTGTCCCGCGATCAAATGGTGATCCGATGAACTGCGTGTTGACCGTGTTAATACTAGCATTGCATGGGTTTGGGGTTTCGGATATGAGGGACGGGGGCTGTGGAAGCTAACATATGAGGCATGACTGGTCAGTGCCCGGGGACGAGCCTGGGCGCGTCCGCGGGCACATTTGAGCCTGGGCGCGTCCATGGCTTTAGATGCTCTTATAAGTTATAACACAAATAAACTAATTCCATGAGGGTGATGACCTCAGTGCTTATGTCAATGTCCTAGATGACATCACTGCGGACTCATGTTCTAGGATGACATCCTGGCTGACCTCATTATTTTAGACATGGTTTAACCGTGCACTAACTGTGCATCTAGAAATGGCGAAGGGATGGGACGTCTATCAGAGGTTCACGGAGGAGGGGCGGGTCGATTTGTGTCCGCGTATGGCTCATGGTTTGGCGCAACGACGGCATGTCGCTGGGGCTGGGAAGTTGCGACCGCCCGGGGGCTAGGTGCGGTCACGAGCGACCACGATTTGACCCTTTTCGGTAAATCGTAAATCTTAATATGGTGAATGGCTTGCTAGGGACAGGGTGAATCGATGCAAATAAGCTCAGCGCCATAGTATACGCCGCAGCAACCTGGTGACTCGGCTCTACACCACCTGGCGCTCAATGTGCACAATGAACCTACGCGTACCACATACTACATCAAATTCCGAAACACCTGGCAGGAACGGGACTTGCACAAATTCTGACCGGAATTGGCACCCACAGTATTTGTTTTATCCGGGGGGGAATTAGTGGAATTAATTTAATGGGATTAATTGCACTACATTAATTGCAAAAGTTGGTGGCGTGCTGTGAGGAGGAGTGCCAAAAGGGGCTGCATCGGCCGCGTGATCGAGCCTGGACTGACCGCGGCTGGTAACACGCAACCTGCTGAACTGGTAACGTACGCTTCTCCCTCCATCTCCATCTCCATCTCCATCTCCGACGACTCTGCTGGTGTTCCAGTTAAGGACGACTTCAACACCTCCCAGGACCACTCCGGCGACGGCAACGTCCCCGTCCAGTACAATCAGGTACTAGGTTTTCCCTCCCTCTTGCCCAAGATCGGCTCCGCCCTATCTCCTATTCGGATCTATACAGGTTGGTTTGTGTTGGGTGGTCGCAGGTGAGGAATTGGTTCCAGAACCAGAGGTCCCGCACAGTCGCAGCAGTCCACGAAGATGATGATGCCCCCGGTGGCCGAGGAACACCACCCAGTGGCCGTATCCTACCCAGGTGCTGGAGGAATCCCCATCTTAAGTTGATAAGCTGTTTTTTCCCCATATTTAGATGTAATAATTTTCCCCATCTTAAGTTCAGTTGCTAGGATGATACATGATGGTGTGTTTCTGAAGATCTGGTGGTCGAGAATTTCTGCATATCAGTGTTATGCTCCTTCAATATGTTGTTTGCAGGGGTACCTCTCTCGGTGTCTAGGGCTCCTTAAAGGTTTTGCATGCCATGAAGCTTGTCGTCGTGCTGTATCGATTAGTCGTTGACGCCATTTAGTAAATTGCACGGCACGTGGTTCGTGCGCCTGTTACATTTATGCACAACTGCAGGAAGATAATGGCAATCCAATTAATATTGGCTGGTATGAAATCAAAACAAGCCGACCCATTGCCTCGGTCATTGAAGATCCTTTGGGATATTCCAGGACACATGATTGTTTGGTGGGCCGTTAGCTTTATTCAGAACAGTAGACAAAATTTTCAACTCAATTTCATGTTTGCGGCTTCTGACGCTTCATAGCCTTAGCATGTAGTTCTTTTCATTTGTGGGCCCTTCAAAGCATGTCGTCGCACTGACTCGGCTATATAGGCTTATTTCGGCTATTGCAGGACACATGGTTTGTGCCCCCTTTATTTTTATTCATAACTCTTGGCTACATGCATGGCACAATTTTCGTGATTGTCGTAAAGAAGATTTTAGTTTTGTAACCGACCAAACACATACAATGTATCATGTTGATTATTAATTATGGATACTGTCGTTACCAATCAGGGAATATTTCTTCGGATGGTGACAAGGTCATGTTTGAAGCAAAATCTGGTAGAAATGGCGCATGCTATGATCATATATACATCTTTTGTGTCCTTTGATGTCACATGTGGTCTGTTTTTGGGCCTGTGATTTAATTTTCTGCGTTAGTGCGCATGTGGTCTGTTACTTGCATAAACCTTTCAGTGTTACATGCTTGACCATAGAACTTTGTTTCAGTGTTACATGCTTGACCATAAACCTTTCTTGTTGTTACAGGTACGATGTTGCTGCCTTTCTGTCCCACAGGTTCACTGAAACAAAGCACCCGGTAATGACCATAGAACTTTTTGTTAAATATGACTGATGTTACTAAATTCTTTTCTGACATTCTTTATTCAAGAACTTTGTTAGATCTAATGCAGTATTGATGTCACAACATTTTGATCACCTGTCTTATCTAACTTTATGTTATACGAGTCCTGTGTGTTGGGGAAGTATCACTACAAGATAGTGCAAATAAAATACTGAACAGTTAAGAAGACATAAAAAACATTGAGTATTTGCTACTTTAGGCTCATATGGAAAGCCCATACTTGGTGGTATAATTTTACTTGCACATTGTCTGTGTTTTTTCATGTAAAACAAAATGTAAATTGGATGTTTCTTTCAAAGATTATATAGCTGTGTAGACGTCTCAGAGTTTTAAAAAGGAAAATGTTAGTTCACACCCTTCAGTTATCATGAGAAGCAATTTTAAACCTTTAACCACAGCGCTACTACACCCTTGAGTTGTGGAAACTGAAGCGTAGCAAACTACAATGGTGGTTTTCAGCTGCATTGCCACCATGGAACCCCACTGACCCATTCTGCCCATGATCTATTGTCAGCATAGGGAAAATATTAGATTATGTATATGGTGCAAACGTGCAACATAACATCCTAACGCGCGACACAATCTGCACCACCTGATTGTGCATTCCTTGTCGTGATCATGATGTCATGATCGGATCATCAATGACGGCATGACGTGGCCCTGATGACAGCCATCACACAGTAGTCTCCTCCAAAATGGATTATTCAGTTAAATTCTGGTCTGCTCCACATGACATTGTCGTCGTCCCTGCATGGTCAATTCATAATCAAGTCCTGGCTGCTCCTCTTCCGCATAGCCAGCAACAAGGAGGGGCATCTCTGAGCCAAAGTGCCCTCCTTCTAGGTGAAAAACGAGCCAGACGCCAATCACTGGAACAAACAAACCTGTCAAGCTAGGTTCTTGTATTGTACATTTCCTTAAGGAAAGAGGCAACAGAAATAGTACTGCTAGTTTGCTAGATTATTGTTTTATTTGTCTTTTGATATTTTATCCTAGATGAAGAAGGGTGTTAATTGTTAGAGATATTGCCACATTACTAGTTTGTTAATATTATGGTTATATGGTCATTCTCAAAAAGATATTAACACTGATGAGGGTTCCTTGTACTTACTCTTCTATGGAGAAATGAAACCCAAAGAAGTGAATGGGGATTTTGTTTTGTCTACAATAAGGGAAGAAAGGGTTGAAAAAATGTGCAGCAAAGCCAGCAACAACATATATAATAAAAAAAATGTGCAGCAAGCTGGCAACAACACTCGGTGCCAATATCATTGCATAAGACTTTTTTTCAATGAATAACTTGGCGCAATTTTTCAATGAATAACCAGGCGCAAATTCCAGACCCAGACTCGTATGCATTTAAACTGTAAAGCATATGCATCCTTGCTGTGTTAATTTCCAAATTAACTAACTGATCCATGGACCTCTGCGCTTACTACCTGTCATCCACACCATGGCGTTACTAGCTGCCAACACTTTGTTTCCGTACACTATGGCTGCCCAAGTTGGATGATTTTCAATAATTCTACTATTTCTTTCTTCCAGTGTTCTTTGGAGAATCACAACAGCAGTAGTAGTATTGTTATAGACTCTAGTTACCTCCATACACACCAAAGGAAGAAGTCACAGCCATAGTGTACGGAAAGAAGTTTGCATCATGTAGGTGTAGTGTATGTAGTAAGCGTGGAAGGCAAACATGCTTGACAGACACCAATGGGCTGGTGGGGGAGTTGCACAAACCGTCGAGTCCTAAGCGATATATGTGGTTAGGAGTGATTTCCTCTTCTTCTCACAGTCATCGGTGAAAACTAGACTCGATCATTTCGAGAATTACGCAATACCCATGTTCCTCTAGTGTTTAATCACTCTCGACAGCGGGTTCAATACATGTGCATTACGCCAACTGTGCTTGCATTTATTTGGTTTTTGTGTTTCAGGAAGTACTAGTTCGATTTACTTGGTTTGGACCTGAGGAGGATGAATGGGTTGATGTTTGTAAATGTGTGAGACAGCGTTCTCTTCAATGTGTTACTGTGATGCCTGGGGATCTCATTCTTTGCTTTAAGGTAGCCATCATAAACGACTTCTGTTCACCTGACTTGGCAAGTTAGCATCTCACAACATGATAATTCATATCTTCATGAAACTTTAAGGCCCTGTTTATTTGGGCTTTTCCTTCTGCTCTCGCAGCTTTTCCACTTTGGAAAAAAAGCCAGAAAAGATCCTAATACAGGCTATTTGCTTCGTCTTTTGGCTATTGAATAAATATTATTATATGATGGTATAAGCTAAAAGCCGAAGCAAAACGCACATATTTTGGATCTTTTGTCGCATTTTGTCGAAGCGGAAAAGCTGCAAAAGTATAAGCAAAAGCCCAAACAAACAGGGCCTAAATTACCCATCAGAATACTAAGACAGTTTATTTTAGCCACAGAATATGTATCCACTCCCGCACAGCTGCTCCATTTTGCTTTTGTTATGCACTTGAAAATTCTGCTTGTTAACTAATTATTCCATTTTGCTTTTTTATGCACTAAAAGTTGTTATTACAGTTTGTGAGTTTTCAAATAATTGTGGTTGATAACACCTATTAAACGGCTTTACTATAATAATCTTTAAGAATTGAAAGTTTCAGTGCTGCATGTATTTAACTACAACATGTGTTTCCTGTGTATTTCCATATTCTTGGTAATCATATTACATAGTAACTCACTGTGATGCCACTTGGTCCAACCGGCACATGACCGTAAAATCAATGCATTTTATTATGTCATCATTTTTAGTACTAAAACTGATTTTAATATAAATCGGGTGTGAATTTATCCAATAAATATTATTATTACTTTATTATTAAATTGAGCACTGAAAGCTTCTTTTTTATTTTATAAAATAAAGGATCTAACCAATATCTGGTCATTTATAAAGTGGATAAACCAACCTTCATTAATTAAGGTTGTCTACTAATCCTCATGTTGGTAGTTGCACACAAACACTGGTATACCGATAAATTAGAGCATTGAGAGGAAGTGTGCATGACCTTACTGCTCTTTCGAGACAGTATTATACACTTCGAGGGAAAGTTGATTAAAGAGACAATCAAACATTCATGTGATGTAGCCGTCTCGTAATGTAGGGTTATCATTTACTCGAGATGATTTCTCACTAGAATAAATTTTTCTGTGCTGAATTGAACAGGAAGGCAAAGAGCAGGCCCTCTATTTTGATGCACACGTTCTTCAAGTTCAAAGGCGCATGCATGACATAAGGGGGTGCCGCTGTAGGTTTCTTGTTTGTTATGATCATGATCACTCTGAGGTAATTCTCCTTTTGTCTACACTGTTGAGGGTTCATGCATTTACTCTGATTCCATTGCTACACCATGGTTGGATGTCAGAATTTATTGAGGCTTGGGTCCTGGAGATGCATTTCAGTTATAGGGCTGTTTATTATGACAACTAAAACCCAAGTTGCCTGGTTTATCAGACCTCAAGCATATATGATTTATAAGTAGTTGGCTATGGTTTTCTTCTTCATAACATGCCTGGACATCAATAAATGAGTAGCTCGTCACGGTCCTTTCTCTACCCATTACCCATCCTAGTTTCTGTAGGCAACCAAACTTACTTCAAAATTTCCATGTGATTTCATTTCCAGTCTGCAATTTTTTTCGCGACCAAACAAAAGAAATCTAAATGTTCTAGTAAGATTGATGGGAAAGAATAATGTAATATATTATGTTTTTATTCTAGGGTAGTTACCTTACTATATTGTCAAACAAAACGGGAAGAAGAGTAACGAGTTTAGTTTGTTTTATGATGTTTATACCAAATAATTTAGTTTTGCATTTATGTTCATGTGACAGGAGTTGGTTCCACTGAGCAAGGTACGCCGTCGATCAGAAACTGATCACATGCACCAGAAAGCCCAAAAGCCACACAAGATGATGGATGTGAACACTGACAAGGTTACCGGGGGTGGGGTTCCCATTCCACCAGATCAATTAGGGCCATCTGACAAGCTGGTTGCTCCCTTACTAGACGCACATACTAGCACCTGCAGCAATTCAGTGGCAAGTGTTGAGATGGGGCATGCGGAGGCTGCCCCAAACAGTGAAGCTGCAAATGAAGCACATGGCGACAAGATGAATGTGGGAGTGTCGTTCTTTCGCTTCCCTTGCATTTTGTTGTGAACTTAGTCAAAAAAATGTTCGCCTAGAAACTTCCAATCGAGGAAGGATGGTTGGTTGCCCAATAACTGTAATGTGCCCTTGTTGACTGGATTGCTTGTGTGGTGCACGAAGTGTTGGATTGGGTATCTATATCTATATAGCTATGTCATCAGAGAAGATATTGTTTTGTGGTGGTATTGTCTTTTGGGGTGTGGGTTGTGCTTCAGAACACCCCCCTTAAATAAAATATTGGCGAATCTCAAAAAACAAACATTGGCTGTTGTGTCATTTCCTGTAATTAGGATTAGCAAGGGGTAATTTTATCCCACGGAAGGCCCTCCAAATCCGTCTATATAGATTGCCCTTCGTCCTCTTGCGCTCTCCTTTCATCTCCTAGTTAATGGCTGCTGCAACTAATGTCTGCACCAATTCCTTTCCTTGTTTTCTGCCTTTTTATCGGTTCTCATTTGATCAGTTTAGCACCAACGTCTCACTCCTCCCATTTCCGAAGCTAGTATTGCCTTTACAATTGACAACTAACAACAGGTTTGGATCTGATGTAACACCATGCATTGGCACCATGGAGTAAGCAGATCCATGGAGGAAGCAGATGACTCTATGACATCGCAACATTGCTAGATGGGATGGGAGCTCCTTTACCAGGATAACGGAGGCATTGTAATGTATGATCCCTTTTTATGAATCAGATTTGCCAGTGTTGCAAACAAACACAACTTTGTTTTGGATCAGGGATAAAGACAAGAAAAACATATTTACTATAACCTGATTTTCAATTGCTTTAACATGGCAATTTTCATCACCATTCCCCACAAAATTTCAGAAAAGAAGAGATACAAAAGTGGGAAGTATTATCATATGTGCAATTGAGTTTAGTATATCAGAACTAAGTTTCTGCTCACGTCTCGTGGGTAGCTCCTGGGACACACGGGCGAATGCCGCCGCCGCCCCAACCAACTCCTCGTTCGCTTTCTCGTTCCTCGCCGCCGCTGCCAACAATCTCCAGGTGGCCCGCTGCGGCGGCGATGCACATCCTCTGCCTCCTTATTTTTCCGCTGATACCCAGGCATGCTCCCTGTCTCTCACATGGCAACGAGGTACGGATCTCACCCCTGCAGACTCCCTCCGCCTCAGCTAGCAATGGCTTGTTTGGTGGCGGCGTGGCCCTCAACGGGCGTGGGTGTGAGGCGGGCTGCTACCACCGGCCATATTGGCGCAGCTACTCATGGGTTGGTGGCGGTCGATGAGGGGGTTCCAGGCCGCCGCTGGAGGCTGGATCCGCCAAATCTAATAGGCTTCTGATCCGATCCAATAGCTTCTTTCGGCATGGCCCTCACCTTGTTGGTTCCCTTGTGTCTACTTCTGCGCGCTCGGTAACCTAGGTCTAGGGTTCGATTTCATGCCGGTGCAAGCTACAAGGTTTGGGTGCAGTGGGTGGTGGAGTTGCACTAGTCCAGGGGGAGATATGTAGTTTTGAAGGGGGGAAGTGTCATGTTTGAGAGAGACATTTTGGGTTCTTGTGTTCCATTTTTCCTTAATGTACTTTTAGGTATTTTTGACAAAAGGTACATAAATAATCAAATACACAAGCTCGTTGAATTTTTGTTTTGAATTTTAAAATATTTAAATCATTGTTTATTAGCAGCATCGAGACCGCATGGAATGCTGCTAGTATACTTTTAGCATATCAGGATTTCGAACAAAATTTGGGCATTGTGTTCCAAAACATTTAATGTACGTTTTAGGTGTTTTTAACAAAAGTAAGTGAAAATTTCAAACACACCAAGTCTTTTAATTATAGTTTTGACTTTTGAAAGAGTTATTACCATGTCTTTTAATTTAGAACATGTCTGCAGCACGCAACATGTGCACATGATGCTAATATGTACGCGTTGGAAGTTGTTTGAAGCCACAAAGGTGGGCCTGCAAATGTGGTATGCAAGTATCGTTATTGGCATTTGATGCAGCCCGCACACTGCTAAATTTTAGGGCACTAGCGGCGCTCTCCCTCTATCTACACATTGCTGGCAGTTCAGGCCGTGAAGGCTCCCTTTGTGTACCATAGTAGAGGTGTGTGATTTTACCGCACGCCTCTAGTCTTGACGCAGTAGTAGCGCCCCCTTTCTTTCTACACGCGACTGGTACTTCGCCAATTTAGCCACAGCGGCTGGCTTTGCCTGCACGCTGGTTGTAGTAAAATCCTATAAGGATTCCTGCACTAGTGTTGTAAAGACCAAGTGGATGTTGCTGCGCAAACAAGTGAACAAAACAATATAATATCAACCCATGAAGTTTGGTATATGTGCAAGCATGAAGGAGAAAATTACTTACATGAGATGGTACGGCACAAGTATGTTGCCTTCTCCATATATGCAAGCGTGCCAGTGCCATTCCAAAGGTACTCCATCATGATTTCCTTGCTTTGTTGCTATCCTGCATGTGTTGAGGATCAAGTATGATGATGATGTTACAGTTCAGACATGTGGTCTTCATGGCATTATAAAGTGCCCAAAGCCTTGTGAAGCATACATCAATCATGAAAAGGCTTTGATGAATTTGATACCCTGTTGCACCTCGACTGTGTAAAATGTGGCTAGTTGTTCAGCTTCCATGATTCGAACGACCTCATGGAGAGGCTTTAATTAGTTCCCTTGCGAGGTAATTCTACTCATCCACCAGTACCGTCTGTTGACAAACGATATGATAGTATCGACACTGGCAGCATATCATAAAATATACCTACGAAATCATAGTCAACAATATCTGCAAGGGTGGAAAGGGGATCAAGGTCTGCAAAGGTATGATCATCACAAACAGCTGAGGCAAGCTAGCCATCATCATGCATCAGCGATGACGGGGGTGTTGACGCTCAAAAGTGGCATGATCCTAAGTGTGGCTTCAACCTATAGCAAGATGAAGTAAAATATATGGCATTGGATGGCCCCTCACTGTGAAGAAATAAAATAAATAAGAGGATAGTCAAAAATGGATCCTAAATACGAAATGACCATTTCAGATATGCATGTGTTGACACGAGATTATGGCAGACAAGAAAACACAATTAATATGACTTCAAATGGAAAAAAAATCTACATAAAACGTCTTAGTTTTATTGAAATGAACAACTTTAATTTTTGGATCATCTCATTCCGAGGTCGTATATGAATTCTACGGCCAAAATAATACATTGCTATTGGAAAATCTGGAGATGGTTGGAAATCCTCAAGTTTGGACTAGACTGTCCATTCCAGACCGCAAAATATGGACTGTCTGCATTTCTCAATGGGGATCTAGAGGAGGAGGTATATGTGAAGTAGCCTACTGGGTTTGGACAAACGACGAAGCCAACAAGAATGCATGAAGAAGGAACCACATGCAGACCAACGAACGTACCATGAGGTATGATGGGAACGACGGCCACCATCGTTGCGGCGGCGTTCCCCGCAGCCAGAGTTTTCTCACCTTTAAGGTGTCACTTCTTTTTTTGAACCACTTCGGTAGAGCCCAGGAGGTGAATGGTAGTGCAGACGATGGAGCAGAGGCGAGGTGCCCTAGACCCCCATGGGAAGCCGAATTGCCTCGCATCCTGCAGCTCAGATGCACGGGGAGCTTGGCACATGGGGACATCAAAGACTATCAGCCCTTCACTCGGACCGAAGCCGGGGAAGGATGCGGTCGTCATTGGATGGCCTCCTAGCTAGGTTGTGGAGGAATTAGCCATGGTGGAGGTAGGAGAAAGAAGCACCGAGACGTACAATCAGGACAGAGGCGGCCGAGGAAGAAGTGCGTTAGGGTAGGAGCATCACCAAGGCAAGTCACTTGGTAAATGGCTCACATTTGCTCGAAAAAATGAATGGGTGTGATGTTCATGCACAATGGTCCAAAACTTAAATGGCAACTTCGTGATTTTGACTCATATGCAACGCCGAAACTCCCGGCGGCACCATGTCCGGCATGAAGACCGCAGGAGCGACTGGCAGCGTGACCCTTCGCTGCGGAAGGGGGCCCTTCCAGGGACAGGCCCGCACTACGTCCCCCGCAAGTTACCCGGCCTCGACCACCTCCGGCGATAACGTGTGTCCTAAAGACAATCTGTCATAGTAAACCGAACCTCAGCTTACCTTACTAGAAGATGACATCGGTGATGATGAACTCCGCCGTTCCTAAAAATCCGAAGCCACCCAAGGGAGGCCAACATCCTCTCAGTATTCTTGCACTAGTTCCTCCTTAGTCTTCATCTTTCTCGGCTGCACCATAGTCGAGGGCCATCATCCTCTGCTTGCTCGTCGCTGGAGAGGACCACGTTTACGGCATGCACAGCGGCACTGTCCTGAACAGAATGCACCTTATCACCATCATAGGCAGCCAATGCTTTGAACTTGGAACCAGATCCTAGTGTTCCCGTGGCTGGTGTGATGGCACCAGGAGACATGAGCATGCGGTGGACAACACGCACAATGCAATCCACGACCAGCATTGTGTCGCCGTCCATGGTCCTGTCTCCTTGCCGCAAATGGCGGCCCTCCTCGATCTTGCAGTGGTCATTCCGAAGGAAGAAAAAGTGGAAGGGTGATCAAGGTACACGGTGCCAGACGCCATGCCAAACTGCCATCACCAGTTCACCACTAGAGCGGCGTGAGTGGATCCAACCAGAGTCTTGTCTTTGTCTTTGGCAATATTTGTCCTAAAACATGCGCAAATACACCTACATCCAAAAGGTGGGCCTACCGTCCATGTTGGTCACGATTGCATGTGAGGAGCACCAAAAGGGGGGTGGGTGTCGACCCGCGTGAGTTTGGATATCAAAAAGGAAGCAAAGGCCGACAGATCGAGAGGCACACACAACACGGGAGGAATACCAAGCTACGGCGGAGGTAGGAGAACGAAACACCACCCCGTACAACCAAGACAGAGGTGGCCGAGTAAGATGTTTTTTAGGGTAGGAGCGCCAGCAACGCAAGTCACCTGGTAAATGGCTCACATCGGCTTGACAAAATGGACGG